CAAGAATAAATGAGCCTTGATAAGAGCCTTGATAGCACAGTGGTCTAGAGCACCCTGTCATTAACACAGCTGCCTGCAATTACTGCTGGTTCGAATCTCTCCAAGGCTCAAGGTTGACTCAGCCTTCCATCCTTTCTAAGGTAGGTAAATTGAGGACCCAGTTTGTGGGGGCAATAAGCTGACTTTGTATAAATATACAAAAGTATGAAGGCTATTGCTTAACGCATTGTAAGCCGCCCTGAGTCTCTGGAGAAGGGCGGCATATAAATCAAATTTAAAAAAAAATGACAATAGTGATTGTTTTGTGAATAGCTGCTTAGAAAAAGCACTCCTTTCACTTATCACTTTAAACTTATAGACTAATACCAAAGGGATGAACATACAGTTGAAAACAAAACTGATTTAATATGAAGAAAGAATTAGTGAAGGATAGAAAGGGATGACAGATTCTCAGAATAAAACAGACCAATTTCTGGTGGGGTTAAGAGTGAAAAAGAAAGAAATGGTTGGAAACGAAAGAAATGAGAATGAAAGTAGAACTGCAGGAGAAAAATATGAATCCATAAAAAGCATTAGAACACAAATTACTGTCACAAAAGAATGAATGGAATGTAGACAAAAAAAGGACATGGAAACTGTTTGGAACAGAATGAAAACAACGTTACAGGATGCCAAGAACTGTGCTGAGTTATGCTAATGCAAAATTTGAAAAACGACTTTTGGTAGAATAATTGAAATGAAATGAAGAGAATGATTGCTGCAAAAAATTAGAATGACAGACAGAAATCTAATAAATATGGTTGCAAACAATATATTTAAACAGAACAAGAAATAAATGTTTTGGAAATAGATGAAAGAGTTATACAAGAGAGCTTCCAGCAGAGTGATTCAGATTAAAAATGAAAGTGAGGATATAATTTGGAATGAAACTGAATTGAGGAAATGTTGGAAGGCATGATTTTAAAATTTTGTAAAAATAGTTATAGAGATTTATTTTTAAAAAGTGGCATTGAAACGAATACTATAAGTGCTAGTATCCAATAAAACACTGATGAAAAGCCAATTATAACTACTATAAAAATATTGAAAAAAGGTAAAAGTTATATACCTTGAGAAATGATAAAATACATGTGTGGTTGGCTTACTGAGTGGAAGTATGACTTGTTCAGTGTGTGTGTACACATGTCTGAATGTTGCATGTGTACCTGACGCTTGGAGCAATAACCTTTGGGAATTTTTCTAAATAGAAATGTAGCAAGTGTGAATGCAAAAACTGCAGGGGAATAGTTTTGTTAACATGCTCAGAAAAATGTCCGACAGAATTCTGACCAAAAGGTAACAAAGAGCAAAGTCTGAAAAATTAGGCAAGGAGGTTTGCTTAGCAAATAATTAAACATTATGCATAGAATAAGTTGAGCATTGCTTACAGAATACAGAATAACAGAGTTGGAAGGGACCTTGTGGGTCATATAGCCAACCCCCTGCTCAAGCAAGAGACCTTATACCAGTGATGGCTAAGTTTTCCAGACTGAGTGCCCAAAGTGCAAGCGTGCGCGCAAATGCGCGCTTGTGCACCCAAACCCCCAATAAGCAATGCGCACGAGGCCCCTGCATATGCACCCCACCCCTATGTATACGCCCCCCGCCCTCCATGCATGCACAGCAGAAACCCGAACGTGCCCCTCTCCCAGGTGCCTCCCACACGTGCCCCTCCCCCAGCACATGCACAGCAGAAACCCCAAGACCAGCCAGCCGGTGGGAGTCATGTGCGTATGCATGGTGGAGCTGAACTGGGGCGACGGCTCACATGCCCACAGAGGGCACTGCGTGCCACCTCTGGCACACGTGCCATCATGGCCCTATACCATTTCTGACAAGTGGCTATCCAGTCTCTTCTTGAAAGTCTCCATTGATGAAGCACCCACAACTTCTGAAGGCAAATTGTTAATGGTTAATTGTTCTCACTGTCAGGAAATTTCTCCTTATTTCCAGGCTGAATCTCTCCTTGATCAGTTTCCATCCATTGTTCCTTGTCTGGCCCAAGTGCTTTAGAAAATAGGTTGTCCCCCTCCTCTCTGTGACAGCCCCTCAAATATTAATGTTCCCTTGTTTGTTTATAATTTATGGAGAAATGCTTGTGGCGAGGCCACAGGTGTGTTTGGTTTGGACAGGAATTTGTGCACAAATGATGCTATGCTGGCCAAGCATCCAAATGATTTGAAGCAGATATTAGACTGTATGCTGCAGCAAGGGGTATGAATCTGAAAATTAATGTATCAAAGACCAAGATGGTTGTGCTTGATAGTAAAAATGGAGTGAACAAATTGCAAGTTTTTTTAAAAAATAAATTTTTATTAGAGTATAAATATTAAAAAAAAACATAACATGACATACACACAACAAACATTTATACAACATATAAACAAAAAGAAATTATGTTTCCTTCTTAAGCATTGTTTCAAAGTGACATTCTGCTTGTTATATATTTCTTCATCTCTCCTTAGTGTAATGACATTTTCTATACCGGCAATATTTCCCCTCTAGGTTTTTGTTTATTTCTAATTTTTAACCAATTATACCATTTATTCCATATTTTATAGTAATCTGATTCTTCTCTTTCTTGTATTTCTTTGGTTAACCTATCCATTTCAGCACATTCTAGAATTTTTTCTATTAAATCTGTTTCGTTTGGCGTTTTTTCTTGCTTCCAATTTTTTGCATATATTATTCTTGCAGCTGTTAGTATGTGGATTGTGAGATATTTAATATCTTTAGGGTATGGTTTATTAAAAATTCCTAGTAAAAATGTTTCTGGTTCTTTATCTATCTGTGTTTCTGTTATTTGTTCCAACCATTTTTTGATGTTAGACCAAAACCTTCTATCATTTATGGTGGACATGCCCGGCAGCAAAGAAAAAAGAACGAATTGCAAGTTATATATAAATACGAAACAGCTAAAGCAAGCTGATTAAAATGTATATTTTAATATTGACTAAAGATAGAACACTTCATGAAAAAAATTTAGGGATTGTTCAAATGGTCATAGAAAGGGAATAGGTGCTTTATGGTTTGTTGCACGGAATGTTTGTCAACAAACAAAGAACAAAAGGGACTGTAAAAGTGTACTTCTGCCTCTTTGTTATGTGAAGAGTTGGCTTATGTCAGGAGAAAGAAAAAAATTAAGTTGAATGCACAGGGTTGGATTCTAGATGTCTGTCTCTTAAAATAGAAAGTGGTAAAAATGAATGTGGAATGCAGGAAAATTGAATACAACAGTGAGAGACTAGTAGAAAAAGCATACAGCATGCTAAATTAGTAACTATCTAATTTAAGTGAGGAGTGAATGAAAGAGTGGGACAGGCTGAGATGAAGTAGAAAACTGAAAATAATAGCTAGAATTGATGAGATACAAAGGAAAAATTGCTAAGATTACAGACTAAAAGATAATGCACGAGTAAGAAGGAAGCCAGGATACAAAGGCATTAAGAAGTATAGCAAGCTCTGTTGGTGTAAATCAGATTTTCCTTTTCCTTTTCTTTTATTTCATGCTCTTTATTCCTAGGTTTATTATTTAACTTTTTCTGTGCTCGGTTCTGTGTGCGTGGCTTGGTAGACATGGTGTGGCTTGGTGGGCGTGGCAGGGGAAGGATACTGTAAAATCTCCATTTCCTCCCCACTCCAGGGGAAGGTTACTGCAAAATCCCCATTTTCTCCCGATCAGCTGGGACTCGGGAGGCAGAGAATAGATGGGGGCCACTACCAGTTCTCCAGAACTGGTCAGAACCTGCTAGATACCTCCTCTGATACACCCCCCCAAAAGGGAACAGTATGGTATGTATATATGTACATAAGTGCACAGCGAACCAGGCCAACTTTGGGCCCTAATTCTATACCCAATACTTACAAGGTGTGGAGGGATTCTGGCTACATGCTAGAATGTCAGGGCAGAAATAGCAGCACAGGAAAAGCTGACAAGTCTGCATCAGAAGGTAGACGACAGAAGGGGCAAAAAAAGCACAGTATCACCCATAGGCCCCATACCGTTCATGCTGCATCCAGTGCAAAAAGCAGGAGAGTTTAGAGGAGCTTAAAAACAAATGCAAATACAGCAGGGGTGAAATCCAGCAGGTTCTGACAGGTTCTGGAGAACCAGTAGTGGAAATTTTGAGCAGCTTGGAGAGCCGGCAAATACCTCCTTTGGCTGGCCGCAGGAGTGGGGTGGGAATGGAGATTTTGCAATATTTTTTTTTTTTAATTTGATTTATATGCCGCCCTTCTCCAAAGACTCAGGGCGGCTTACAATGCGTTAAGCAATAGCCTTCATACTTTTGTATATTTATACAAAGTCAGCTTACTGCCCCCACAATCTGGATCCTCATTTTACCTACCTTTGAAAGGATGGAAGGCTGAGTCAACCTTGAGCCTGGTGAGATTTGAACTTGCAGTAATTGCAGGCAGCTGGTGTTAATAACAGTGCTTTAGTCTGCTGGGCCACCAGGGCTCCCCCCATGAGTGAGGGAACGGGGATTTTGCACTATCCTTCCCCTGCCACGCCCACCAAGCCACACCACGCCCACCATGCCACGCCCACAGAACCGGTAGTAAAAAAAAATTGGATTTCACCACTGAAAAACAGTCTTTTTGGCACCGACAACCCTACAACTTTCACGTTGCCTCGAGAAAGGGCAGGATATGGTGGACTCCAGTCACCGAGCGTTCCCTGCGGGGAGGAGATCGGTGGGTCTTTCTTTGAAGCTGAAATCCAAACGGCATCCAAAATAAGCCTCCTTCTCCTCCCTTGGGTTTACTCCTCAATAGCCAACTACAGGCTTGAGCTTGACGCTGCTGCTTTCGGGCTACCAATATCAGCGCCGGCAGCCTCCGAGGGGGAAAAAAACCCCCGCCTGGAGAGCCTAAATGGTTCTTAAGCAGAGCAATTTAGGAGCGCAAACTTTTTGAGTTCAGCTGATTTCGAGGCCGGGGGGGGGTGGAAAAAGGAGGCGTAGAAAGAAGCAGCGGATAAGGAGAAAACAGACGCCCGAGTCTTGATAGTCCCTGAACTTCCTTCTCGACCTCCTCGTGATTCTCCAGCCCGGTCCAAGTGGGAGGAATCGCTTGGCTTTCTCTCACACCCCTTTTTCTTTCTTTCTTTCTTTCCCTCCAGGGGACGAAAGCGGAGGGCGCGCCACGCCGAGGGCTCCGGCTCCCGTCTCCGCCCCGCTCCGGAGTTTATTTGGGTCCTCCGCAGTTTCGTCCTGGTGTGGGGGAAGATGGAAGGCTACAAACTTTTCCTGGCCTTCCTCGCGTCCGCTTTGCTGCTCGGCTTCCTCTCCGTCGTCTTCGCCCTGCTCTGGGTCCTCCACTACCGCGAGGGGCTCGGCTGGAACGGGGGCTCGGCCGAGTTCAATTGGCACCCGGTCCTCATGATCACGGGCTTCGTGTTCATCCAAGGGATCGGTGCGTAAGGCGGACGGAGTGGGTGGGTGGGTCGGTGGGCAGTCGAGCGATCGGGGCCGGGGGGGTGGGGTGGTGGAGAGGGAGGAGGGCGCGAGGAAAGGCTGCTGGGCTTTATTTTATTTTTCCCTGCAAACGCGGTAGCGCACATAGAAGGAAGCGAACTTCCATACCATGCGGGCTTCTGTTAGCTCCCGTGTGTGTGTGTGTGTGTGTGTGTGTGTGATGGGAGGGGGGGCTTCTGGCAGACTGACAAGCATCGTCAGCTTTCCCGTCCCGGGTTGGCACTGCAACCTCAAAAGGCGGCGCTCGCGAGGGCTGCGGTGCCAAGTTTAGGATCGCAACTCCAACATGAGCGGATCTCTCTAGTCGCTGGCCGTGCAAGTTGGACTTTTCCCAGGATGGAGGGGAAACCCGCAAAGGGTTCCAGGAATTCTCCTGCCTTGGCGGACCCGTCGTTCTGCCTCCCACTCACACCCCAGATCCGCCTCCTTGGTTCTTGAAGCAGGCTCTCCAGACCCGCTGGCCCGGGAACGGTGCCTTTTGGCATCTTTTAGCTAGAAAGTAAGCCTCGCTCCCATTGCGTCCAACCTAAGGAGTGTTGAAGTTGGAATTGGAGTTGGGGAGTCCTTGGCGCTCCCCGAGTTTGCTTTGCAGACGCTTCATTACCCAACTGGGTAAACATACTTAAGAGGTGTTGCAAAACTGCCAGCCAGATTCCGAAAGCGGACTGTCGCGACGCGCATATTCTATTCCTCGGCTTTTCTGTTTACCCGTATAATTGGTCATATCTCGTCCAGAGCAAGAAGGGCGTGAGGTATTCAGGCCTCCCTGTTTTGGTTTTTTTTCTTTTTTTCTTTCCCTCAGTGACTCTGCGTTTTTAATAGCAACGGCTTTGGAACCGTTAATTCTCTGCAGCGACTGTTTCACTGAAGCCTTACCTGACTTGAAAAAACGCAAATGTCACAACTCGAAAATGCTAGTTCGCAAGCAGTTGTAAATATGGGCGGGGAGAGGGAAGATTGCTACAAGTGTGACTAATCGGGATGGTGCAAAAGAAACCAGTGTCTGGTTTACTGAAAAACCCCATTGTGTTCTGATGATTATACAGTTCCCTCAGTTTCTGTAGGATTGTTGTCTTAATATATATTTGACCATCTTGATTCTAGTTCGTGAAAGCTTACAATAATTTTATTTCACTGATGATGCAGGAATCAGCTCTGTAGAATGCCTTGTAATTAATAATCATCTTGTACTGAATGCTAGATTTTGTGTTATTTAAAATAGATTAAATACTGTAATGGGAGGAAAACCCAGCTAGGGACTAAACACTTGGTAAAGTAATATGAATGGCGAAAGAAAGGAGTCTCCACGGTAGAAAAACTCTAGTAGGGAAAAAAAAACCTAAAAATAAATACACATACAGTGTATAGTATTGATACTATATGAGGTTTATAATTTCTGATAAGTATAGGAAATCAGATTTGGGCTTGTAAATTAATTATACAAGCTGGGAGTTGTTAGGTCTTCAGAGTCCAGAAGAAGAAAAAACAAGAGACTTTAAAAGTAAAAGCAAACCATAAGAAAAGTTGTGTGCTTAATTTTAACAAATACATTTCTGTTCATGGAAGGATCAGTGCAATTTATCATTCACCTGTTAAAAGGTGTGACTGCTAAATATTTTAAACTACAGTGTGCAATATGCCAGGCACTGGAAACTTTATACCTTGCCCATTGGCATCTGGTCATGCTCACAGCCAGATCTGATTCTTCCTCCTGATATGCTGCACAATGGCCCTCTGAAATTATATTCATTTACAAGAACACCTTTGGAAATCAGATATTTTTAGAAAGGAGATGTGGTATGTTGCAGTTTTGTATGAAATTATGCTCACCTATCCAGAAACAAATACAAAGAGAGGTAGGAGTCTGTGTTCTCAGGATAAAAGGGAACAAAAAGGCACAATTTGCTTCCTGGTAAATAGGAGTGTTGCCAGTGGCTATGTCACCATGGCAGCTACTACTTATGAAAAATGTACATAACGTATTCTCAAGTATAGTCACTGGATGTGTCCCATCCCATCATTGCCTGATCTTATTAGTTCTCTTTATTTCTCTCTCTATACAGACACATAAACACATACACACACACACAGATGCATACACATTCATTCATTCATTGGAGTTAGAATGGCATTTAAGCAGATATGCTGGCAATAGTTAACATTCTTAAGGGATTTTTTCCCCCTATTCAACTGGATTTTATTTTGGTTTCCCATTGTTACATAAGCAATATCTATTGTATATCCAGTATGTTCCTCCTAATATTATTTTACCTGTACATTATTCATGCCAGTAAAACAATTTGGATGGAAAAATATGCAAACTATTGCAAGTCTGTGATGATGTAAATAATTTGGCAGATGTGTTTTATCCTTGATTTAAGATCGGGGATTACTGTGATACTGAAATTGGGTTTTTTTTGTCTTGGTTTCTATTTGTTTTTATATACCACCCAGGTCTGTGGGGACGGGGGTAAATTATAAGTACTGTTAAAAAAAACAAATAAAACACTATAAATTCATATAGGAATAAATTTGTTGAGGGTTGACAGAAGTGGATTGAGTTTATAACATTCACACTATACAGTGGATTACTGTAAATATATAATTCTTAAGTACTAAACATAGTACCATACTTACATAATAGAAGCTATTTGCACAAGTTAACGGAAGGAAAAGTGCATAGCATGATTGTGAAAACAGAGACTCCTGAGTTGTAAAAAAACAAGAGAATAGGGAAAATGGCTAAGTGGTGAAATTTTTTTGTAACAGTTTATTTTCAGTTCAGCCAAGGTGCTACTATTTAGGAAAACTTGTGATTCCAGTTTTTATTAGTGTCAACTTTTGTTATGATAATCCCAGTATATCTTGGCAAGATCATACTAAGAAAGGGTAGTCTAAATGTTAAAATGTTATGAGTATTGGAGGGCACATGAGGCAGAATTACATAAGTATTTTATGAATGCTTTACAAAAATTCATATGGGGAATACATACCAGAGTAATATGCTTTATGTATATATTTTTGGAATCAGAATTTTTGTGGCTAAGCAACATGGTTCTTAAGTGAGTCATGCCCGATTTTGTAACCTTTTTAGGCACGGTTGTTAAGCAAATCACTGCATTTGTTAAGTGAATTGCACAGCATTAAGCAAATCTGGCTTCCCCCATTGACTTTGCTTGTCAGAAGCTGTCTGGGAAGGTTACAAACAGGAATCGCATGATTCCGGGATGCTGCAACTATCATAAATATTTGCTGGTTTCCAAACGCCTGAATGTTGATCATGTGATCACAGTGATGTCATGACAGACTTAAGAGTGAGGCCTGGTTGTAAGTCATTTTTTTTTCAGTGCCATTGTAACTTCAAGGAGTTGCTAAATGTAAGTGGTAAGTTGTTTTATGCTTCTTTACATAATACTTATTACAGTGGTGCCAATAAAAGGCAAGTGGCTGATTTATCAAAATATGATTTGGTAGCAAAATACAAACTGTATTTAAAACCGCCATTTTTACTATCAACCTCTTAAAGATTTTAACGTAAGATTATCCCTTCAATTTGAGTGGGCTTTTTTTTTTAATTTTGGGAAAAGCTATGAAACTGGAGTATATGCAGTTAACTTAAATGGTGTCAAATGTCATTATATTTCATATAGGCATGGGGAAATGGACATTGAGTCTTTTTCCAGGATATTCCATTTGGGGACAGAGATTTATTTATGACTTTTATAGCACAAGTCCTTGGCACAGGTGATGTGCATGTTAGTAAATATTTAAAGATATGGCTCTTAGAAAATATGTATTAGTCCAGATGGAGTACTTTGTTCCTTTTTTTTGTTATCAAGAAGCTTATCATAATGTTAATATCTACCTACTCATGTATTATGACCAATGTATTATGTGCTGCTGCTAAATTCTCTTCAATTTTTTTACTGGCCTAATTAGAAGATAAATAAAATAATGTACTCGGGTCATTCTGTGACATATGGGCTGCATGAAATATACCTTTTATTCAGTCACTCTCTCTCAGCCCAACTCACCTCACAGGATTGTTGTGGGGAAAATAAGAGGAAAGAATATTAGGGATATTTGCCACCCTGAGTTATTTATAAAAATAATAAAGTGGGGTAAAAAAGTAACCCTACCTCTGTAAATTTTAAATGGAAGAATGTCAGTGATTCATCAGGTTCTGTTCTGCAGCTTCCTCCCCCAGAACCCTCCTCTCAATGGGTAAACTCAGTTTTCCTTCCTTTTTTGCATATTTTGCTATGTTGTCTTAAGGAACCTATTTGCAGAAGGTTAAGCCGTTTATTTCTCCCCTAAAGTCCCCCAAATTCTTCTGGCCCAATCCACTACTAGAATGTAGCCATTTACTTACTATGCATAATCCAGTGAGGTTATCATGCAGACAAAGTGTTCTGCCTTTTTAAGGTGAAATGTGCACCAGGTTTGTTTGTTTTTTAACGGAGTTCCTTGTTGTTTTATGAAAGATGGGTGTGCTATCTGATTTCCAATGTGCACATAGCTGATCTCACCCAAACAGTTTAGTAAATTGTCACAACTGGAGATTCTAACAATTCAATTCAATCCTAACAATTCAGGATTTGTAAACCATCGCAGAATATATACGCAAGAGCCAACTTTATTGGTTTGATCTGGTATAGAAGGAGCACCCTAAGCCAGGAATTTTAATTAAAAAAAACAGAAGAAGATTTTGTTCAATGTGTTGAGTCAGGCCATCTATCTAATCTAGCATGATTGCCAGTCAGTCTCCAAAAACTTAGATACAGAACTTTATCACTCTGTCTCCGAGATACGCCCTTTTTCTTCTAAAACAAGATCATTTTAAAAAGTGTGTGTGTGTCAATATCTGAATTCTTTCCCTCAGAAAAGGGATAAACAGTAAAATGAGAAAGACCTATTTGTTGAAGGAAATTCTCAAAAATGTCGCATGTCATTAGAATAATGCAAGAACAGTTTTAACGTTCCTAATAAAGTTAGTTTTGTTTTGTTTTAACCTTCGGAATTCTTCCTTATTTCCCAATTGCAGCAATTATTGTATACAGGTTACCATGGACCTGGAAATGCAGCAAATTTTTGATGAAATTAATCCATGCTGGGTTACATACCATTGCTCTGACACTTGCTATTATTTCCCTGGTGGCTGTTTTTGATTTCCATAATGCTCAAAATATTCCTAACATGTACAGTCTACACAGCTGGATTGGATTGACTGCTGTAATTCTTTATGCTCTACAGGTTAGATGTCATTTATAAACTATACTTAAAAACAGAATAAGATTATTTTAACTTCTATCAAAATGTGCTGTGTATACATTAATTTTAATGAGGGATTTTGTATTTTGCACTTCTTATACATAAACCTTACAACTCAATAAATTAACCTTTGTGGAATGAAGGCGAATATAGGTGTCCCAGGATAATGTTGTAGGATCCAATCTGGGTTGGTCACCGGGACTGAGCTTTTGTCTTCTAAGCTTTCAGACTTGTGCTGGAGCCTCTAGAGAGAAGTTCCCTGAAGATGGGCTCCAGCACAAGCCCAAAAGCTTGGAAGACGAAACGTCAGCCGCATTGATTGACCCAGATTGGATCCTTCATTAATCTCTGTGTTCATTGTAAACAAAATAAGAGATATAAGGTATTTTACTTTTAAGCAATTGGCATTCTGCTACAGAAATCTGTCCAGGAACTAAAAATATTTTCTTAATAAACATTTTGTAATTGCAATTAAAAAAACTAGTTTGCCAATATCTTGCAGATTGTAAAATAACACTTAAACATAAAGGCAGTTGTTTAGCTTCTTAAAAAATATGAGAAGAGACAAATTATTTGCCAAGAAATGAAGCCAGCGTAAGTATTTGTAAGAGGATCTTTTTCATAAGAGGTAAATTTAAAAAGACAATATTATACACATCGTTTTGTATCATTTCAGTAGTCTCTGAAAACAGTCTTTCTATTTTAAGTACTTTTAGTAGGGAACTTTTTGGTTCTCCAGCTTTATTAAATTTTTTGAGAATGTTGCTCTTTCTATATTCAGAAGTGTTTCATTTTACCACCTTTGTAGAGAGTTTTTCATATAATTTTTACAGGGTATCTTATAAATACGTTCAGACTTCCTTGTTTTTAATAGTAGGAAAGGAAGTAAATGTATATCATTTAATGTAAAAATTTTATATATAAGTTGGGGAAGCCATTGCCCTCTAGAAGAGCTGCATGCTAACGGTGAGGAATATAGTTTAGCTCAACAGAATTTGGAGATCCAAAACATTCTTACTTCTTAGAGAAGAGAATAGGGTCCAAAAGGATGATTGTAGTCCTAAGCAGCTTGCCCCAATAAGCAACTAATTGCTCATTGTATTTGAAAGCACACATTTTAAAAAGGTGGCAAAAGATTTGGCACTGGTAGCCACTCCAGTTTCAGGATTGTGGCCCAAAGCCGCAAATTTAATGGCAGTATTTTTAAGGAGTTTCTATTCTGATTCTATGGCTCGTAAGATGCAAGATTTTGTAGCCTGGCATATTAAAATAATATACACAGGCTATGCAATTTATTTCTGTTTATCTGTACTTTATGCCAGATGGCTTGATTGGGAATATAAAAATGTAGTCCACCCACACAACCAGTCACTGAATTCTGTGGATGTGTTCCTAATTCCTTAGTATGAAGCTCCCCTCCAGTCTGAGAATTTACATTCTCAGGAATGGGCCAAAAACAATTGTAAACAAAAATGGCCATACAGGTAGTCTTCGAGTTATGACCACAATTGAGCCCAACATTTATGTTGCTAAGTGAAACATTTGTTAAGTGAGTTGGCCCCATTTTACGACTTTTCATGTCACAGTTGTTAAGTGAATCAGTGCAGTTGTTAAGTTACTAACACTGTTGTTAAGTGAATCTGGTTTCCCCATTGACTTTGCTTGTCAGAAGGTCATAAAAGCGGATCACATGACCCCGGGACACTGCAACCGTCATAAATGTGAACCAGTTGCCAAGAAACTGAATTTTGATCAAATGGCCATGGGGATGCTGTAATAGTCATAAGTGTGAAAAACGGTCATGTATCACTTTTTTGTAACTTTGAACAGTCACTAAATGAACTGTTGTAAGTCGAGGACTACTTGTTCTTCCTGGCTAGAGTAACAATTTAAGGTGGTTAAAATTAGTGGGGAATACTACTGACAGATAGGTATTAATTTAATACCAGAGAAACACTTAGTGTGTTAAGATAAATGAAAGAAATAGGAAATAAAAGAAATAAGATAAATAAAAGAAATATCAAAATATTTTTAAAATAATAATAAAAAGAAGAAATAGCCTCTGCTCTGTCTGTTTAGATCAGCCATAGGACTCTTGGCCTTCCAGAAGAGTGTCGAGCCCAGGCTCTGCCAACCACCCCTAGGGTCCAAGAATGCTATGCAATTCTGGGGGGGTTGGGTTTGCTCGGCTGAAGGTTCTCCCTCTGCCTTTTAGCTTACACAGTTTTCCCTTTTAACTTTGTTTTAATTGGTTTTTAGCTTGTTTTTAACCATAGCTTTTATATCATTATGTGATGGGTGGTATAAAATGTCCCATGGGTTTTCAAAGATTTCAGCAGATAATTTAGGAATCAAATTTGGCACTGCCTCATAAATTATTTTCATGTTTGTTTTTAAAGTAATGTATACCATTGCCATTTGCTAAGTGTTATCTGTGTATCAGCTTGTTTTAGGCTTTGTGGTCTTCCTACTTCCCTTTACTCCGACTTCTCTTCGGACAGCTCTTATGCCAATACACACATATTCAGGTCTTCTCATCTTTGGAACAGTGATTGCCACAGCCCTAATGGGAATTACAGAAAAACTTATTTTTAGTCTGTAAGTATTTGGATGTCGCTAATTTTTTTTTTACAATGACATTTACTAATTGAGCATTGTTAATTTGTTTCCTTAATTTTAATTTGTTTTTCCCTGAAGGAATATAATTCCCTATCGCGATTCCCCAAAAGAAGCTATTTTTGTCAATGTTCTGGGTGTCCTGATTGTCGCCTATGGGGCTGTAATTATGTGGATGGCTACAAGGCCTCATTGGAAGCGCCCACTCGAACACGTTTTCCAAACCCATCAAAGAATTGGAGAAGGATTCAGTGAGGAGGACTGTCATAATCCAGATTTGGAGATCAGCAGTGATGGAGCTGCTAGGAAAAGAAACCCCAAATCTGATGAAACTGGACAGAGATCAACTATGTAAAGAAAGTATATAACAAAATTTGCAATGAAGAAAATTCTCTCTCCCTATTTTCTCCCAGCTCTTCGACACGCTATACTTTTCTTTATTAATATTGTTAGAATTTTCTGAATAAATGAGAAGAGTTAGTAAAGAGTTTAATTTTAGAAGTATCTTTGTTCATATGGTGCCACTATGGTAACTTGTACTGTATTTCTTGATAATTTGGGGGGGGATCTGAAATTATCACCAGGTCAGCTACATGAAATGCTTTTTCATTGTTATTGACTGATGGAAGAAGTACAAGATGAACAATTAGATTTTAGATATTGGAAGAAAGTTATGAAGAAAGGGAGGAGAACTCCACTGAATAAAATGGCTAAAACCCTTGATATTTCTTTAATGTTGTTCAAACTTGTTTCCATAACACAATGGAACTTCTGGCCATCTTGGAAAGCTGAATGATTGATTCCACAATTCATTCACCTTCATTTTCTCTTGACTTGTGATGTTGCTTTCCATTGGCAGTGGAGAAGAACTGTGTATTCTGCAGTTCAATAGTATGATTATGGTGGCCAGAGAGAAGGAAGAGAGTGGAAAAGCAGGTGGTTGTGTGGATGATAATTTGATTACCCTGTCTAGCTTCTTTTTTCACATAGGTGCCAGCTTCTCATACAAACACATCTTCTAGTATCACAGAAAACTCAGACATTATTGCTATAAGGCAATCAGTATTGTTTTTGTACAACCATATTTAAATAAATATTGGCTTTATACAGTAACTCCATTATTTGGATTAAATATTATGTTAGAGTATTTACAGTTTGTTCAGATTATAAGGCAATATAATGTAGGCTAGGCTAGACTAGACGACTAGACTAGACTAGACTAGACTAGACTGGAAGGAACCTTGGAGGTTATCTAGTCCAGCCCTCTGTTCAAACAGGAGAACCTATACTATTTCAGATAAGTGACTGACTAGACCAGGGGTGTCAAACTCGCATTGCGACTTTTTTCTCCTTTGCTAAACTGGGCGTGGGTGTGGCCAACGCATGACATATTCGGACCATCGTCCGCGAGTTTGACATCCCTGGTCTAGACTCTTCTTAAAAACATCCAGTGATGCAGCGCCCACGATTTCTGGAGGCAAGCTGTTCCACTGCTAGGAAGTTTCTCTAGACCTAACTAAATTAAAGCTGTGTTACTCTCAACTCTTACTCTTAAAGAATGCCATTTCAACATGTACATTCAGGAGTGTTGCAGGGAAAAAAAATGAATTAATTTTTTTCATGGATAATAGATGGCCAGCATTGTGTATATTTGGCAAAGAACAAGCCGCCTCTCTGATCTCATTTTCCTTAATGAACAACTGAAGCTGTTGCATTCTTCTAAATTGATGGCAGTTACTACATATTTTGATAAGCTACTTATTTTTAGGAGGAGGAAGAGCGTTTCCTTTATGTATAGATTTCAACAAGCTTTCTTCAAAAAAACTATACAGTATTGAAAATAATTGGGACATTCAACCTCCATTTTATGAGACGATGCTGTGTTTTAGGATTGTCCGATTTGTATGTTTTGATTTGTCCGGTGTGCAAAAGATCAGGTCCACAGTGGAGGTTCAATTAAACTAATTTATTGCTAAAAGCCTATTCACAGGAATCTTCTTAGCTAACATGTAAGAGTTAGATAAGGGTTAACAGCATTCAAGGGAGGGGGGAGGCTTGGACTTAGTTCTCTTGTGACTATATAGGGATTCTAGACTGGTCCCCCTTTTTACTCTACTCCCAGTTTCTTCCATCTCTTCTCCTACATGCTTCTCCTTTTAGAGCGTCAGGTGACATCATTAATCCTAAACCAGCCCTCCCTGTGTCACTGCCAGCTATATGCCAAATCTGTAGTGTTTCCATTTTTCCAAGGACATTTAACACAAGCTTATATAGAGGATTAATGGCATTTTATTTTTGCTCTTCATAACTTTATTTAGAAATTATTGAAGCTAAAAATGCCATCTATGTTTACTTTTTAGTTTAACAATAAAAACTAGCTAGACCAGAGGTGTCAAACTCAAGGCCTGAAGGATGGATCTGGCCCATGGGGCCACCCTGGAAACAGCAAAGGACCAGCCCACGGTGCCTCTGCCAGCTCCATTTTTGATGGCAGAGCGTTGCAGAAGGCCATCACAGCCAAAAGCGGCACTCGCGAGGGCCATTTTCACCGGCAGAGTGCTCGGGCCACCACAGGTTCCCCTGACACGAGTGACATCGAGTTGGCCATGCTTATCCCGGTCCCCCGAGGTTAAGCACAACCATGATCCAGCCCTCAATGAAATTGAGTGTGACACCCCTGAGTTAGACTATTGGAAGAACCCTTTAGCTATTGTTATAGAGGATGTTACACAGAATAAAAGACAAAACTTAATCTTATTCTAGGCAATATTGAGAAAATGTAGTCAGCACATCCTTGATTACATTTTGAAAAGATCGTCTAAATGTATATCTGGACAGTATGGAATGAAGTATGTAATTGGACTTTAGGGAAGCTAATCCGATTTTTGAATTATTGCAGTTCATTTGGAAAAAAGATCAAAACTACAGCAGCAAACTCAGAGCCTTAAAAAAAAAAAAACCCTCTTCTCAATACTTTTAACTGACTTCCAAAATCAGTTTGGCTTTTACTCTAATTTGTAATGTAAATTAAAACATTCGTTCTAGTGACATCTCAGAAAATTACTACTTAGTTTCTGAAAGAAAACAAGAAGATATTTCATGTCAGTGTCCTTATCCTGACTAGTCTGCTATTGTGGACAGGAAAAGAAAGTGAGCAGTTAAATCTGGCAACTTTCTGTGCCAGAAATTGTCTTTTCTATCCTGATTTGCTGCTGGTTGCAGTGTTACTGTAAGTCATTATAAGAGTGATCTTAGGAAACAGTGGCCCTTCCTCAAACTTGCTTTTCAGACAAGTTGGGATTGCAGCTTCCAAAATGAAGAATAATGAATTGATATCTCAATATTAGGTGAGAACTGCTGTACTATAGATGATAAGGCCCACCCCAAACATCTTCATAGCCATTTTCTATGTTAACGGCTTTAGAGAAGCCAAGGTTCTTCTCAGGATATTAACCTGAATACTCAGTAGGGTAACGGTAGAAGGTGTAAAACTTGGCAAACTCCAATGTCTACAGAAGACAGTGGAAAAGAAGAATGTGCATTATGATAGCCTTTAACCAAAGATTGTCTTATGGAGTGTTTCTCGACCTTGGTAACTTCTATGATGTATGGACTTCATCTCGAATTCCCCAGCCAGCATGCCACACATCTTAAAATTGCCAAGGCTGAAAAACACCAGTTTTCTATATCAGTGGCTGTATGTGATCCACATTTCTAAAAGAATGCATGCTTTACTATATATTAGAATAAACAGTATAATTTTAATAAAAAGTGAACTTGGATATTGCCAATATTACTGTAGAAATATTTGGAAATCCATTTGAATATGGGATCAGTAGTACTTTGTAAAGTAAAAAATTTTGTAACTATTTTTATATTGCAATAAAAACTATTGAAGAATCTACAGCGTTCTGTGCTAATAATAATGGCTAAACTGTATGCTGATTTGAAATAGAACGTGGAAATTGCAGAGGATGAGTGACAATCATTTTTTCTCTGTTAGAATAGGTGGCAATTCCTTCTTATCTAATATTAAGATGTGTTGATTTCTGAGCCTCTGAGTGGATTTTGAGGATAAACAGAGAAGTCTATTACACTACTACTTTACTTGGGCAATGTTCGATTTTTGTCCTAGAATTACAAAGGTTTCAGTTGAATTCATCATTTAGACACATTATTTTTTTTTTCCAATTTATAGGAACCATAAAAAAAAGATCCTGTTTGCCAAGGAGTCATGATACCTCCAGGATCTGAACACAATACATAACAACCATAGCTGATTAGGCATATTGAATATTAAACACTTATGGCTGTTTAGGAATTAATACAGGCAGCTTATTAACATTGTTAAATGCCAAAAGTAGTTGAAGACACTTTTTTTTCAGCTGGTGAAAAAGAGATGGTAAAATGCCACTAAAATAAGATAATGTATATGTGTTGATTTATTTTCCTATAATGAAAAAAACCCTTACTGGCGATCATATATTAAACTGGATATTAGCTTTCACACGACAAAAAATTACAAGGAAACAAAGTAACCCAACAGTGTAATAAACTACAGTGATTTCTATTCTACCAGCAGTGTATGGTAACTGGACCACATGAAGATAATTAAACTCTCAGTTATTTATCATACCAGCTCCCTCTATTTTCACAGTTGCAATTTAAATAGGTTAAAGTACTATACTTTTTTAATGCAGCAAAATATTAAGAAAGCAATCGAGTTTATTTTGCATTGATCATATGTAATTTTTCGGAAACCCCAAAGTAAGAATTCTCTTCCTATCATAAGAAAGAGTAGGGTCAGAGTCATGACCTTAGTGATTATACTGTTTATATCAGAGGTGGGTTTCAGCAGGTTCTGACCAGTTCTGGAGAATTGATAGTGGAAATTTTGAGTAGTTCGGAGAACCGGTAGTAAAAATTCTGACTGGCCCCGCCCCCATCTATTCTCTGCCTCCCGAGTCCCAGCTGATTGGGAGGAAATGGGGATTTTGCAGTATCCTTCCCCTGGAGTGGGGAGGCAATGGAGATTTTACAGTATCCTTCCCCTGCTACACCCACCAAGCCACGCCCACCAAGCCATGCCATGCCCACCAAGCCATACCCACAGAACCGGTAGTAAAAAAAATTTGAAACCTACCACTGGTGTATATATACTTACAAAGTGCAAACTCTTAATCGGGGTAACAGCAGAATGTAAATGATACACTTGCAGTCATAAAATTCCCTTGCCAAGAAATCTTGATTGATATTTTGGTGCCTGAATGAGATTTCTCTCCCCCCGGTCTGTAGGGCTCTAATGTTTGAACAAAAAGGCTGGGTGCTGAGAGGAGAATTACTGTAAAGGGGATGGAGAGAAAATAGAAGAGAATGGGGTATGGGGAAAGGAAGCAAAATGACGCGAGGATATGGAATGAGGAAGTAGCTGCTCACAAACTGCTCCAGCCTTTTTAAAAGAGGCCAGCAATCTGACACATTTTGACTCCTTTTACATTCCCAGCGAGTCTTAAAAATGCACTAACTGGGAAAAGCAGTTTCTAATTCGGCAAAGTTTGCCATCTGTCTCCCAGAGTTGAAGACCACTTTGTAGAGCCAAGAACAGAAAGAACAATCCCCTAAATGCAATGTCATGGCACAGAAGAGTGAACAAAGAAAATACAGCCAGCGTATACCAAGACGCCCTAGAAAAATATCCAAAAATTTCAAACAAACCACAGATCTTGGATAAATGTGAGCATTTGTGAAACCACAAATATTTTTGGAAGAGAATATTTGTAGTTCAGGGTTGAACTGTGGGATCCTTGGCAGGGGTGGGTTCTACTCACTTTTACTACCGGTTTGCAGCGGGGCTGCGCGCACACCCTTCTGCACATGCGCAGAAGCGTTTTGGTGACGGGGTCGGTGGATGGAGCCTCCCAGCGGTTTTACTACCAGTTCTATAAATCCGGTGCGAACCTGGGGCAACCCACCACCGGTCCTTGAGTGCCTCCACCCGCAGGTCGCCACTACCAGGTTGCCCGAACTGGTCCGAACCAGCGAATACTACCACTGGCCCCCACCAACACTGACAGCCACTAGTAAATAAAAACGGAACAATTCCTACTCCCTTCTAATTAATGTTTAAATCAAATCTCAGCTTTTGAATTTTCACTTCAACCTTCACCTTGGTGCAAAGCTTATGTAGCAACAATAATACTATTAACAAAAAAAGGATAAATAACAATGCAGATGAGTTAGGGACTATAATATTATGTATGTATTTATATATAGACATTGTATCATTTCCCCTTTTGGTTTGTTATACCTGTTTTTTACTTCAATTAATTAAAGACAAAAATGGGGGGATGGAATATGGAGTATATGAGCAATTAAAACTATTTCAGTGTGTTCATGATGCCAAATGTGTAATAATGTGCACATGTGCACATCCCATTCTCTACAATTCAGCAAGAACCAATTCTCTTATTTCAATGAAACATACCTTTCACTTGTATTGACAGTGAGCGAACTATCCTTTTTACGAACAATTGAGTTATGAACTATCCCAACAGTTAATAAAGTCTGTTAAGATTATGAATCTTCTTTTTCACTTAAAAATAGTCCTCTCAATAAACAAAATTCAACATAGATTGAGGATTACCTTAATGCAATATGAGTTCGATAAATGTAATTATCCTATTTTATAAGAAGCTCTGGACTATAAGACACACCTAGCTTTAGAGAAGGAAAACAAGAAAACAAAAAATCTGCCTCTGCCTCTGCCTCCCAGCCCCAGCATGTGGCTCATCAGGGCTCCACTCCGTTGCGCCTACCACTGGTCAGCTGAGCGACAGCTGGCTCCCGGCCTCCTGTAGCCCCGCCATTGCTGCCTCCACCGGGGAATGCTGGAGACTTCACCAGTGTTCGCCGCTTATCACCGCCACTGCTGGATGCCGCTGCCTATCACCACCTATCGCTGCAGCCACCTGTTGCTGCTGCTGCCTATCGCCACCACTCGCTGCCGCCACCTGTCACCACTGCCACCTATCGCCACCACTGCCTGTTGCCACTGCCACCTATCACCAATAGGCAATGAATGGAAGCGGCAATCCCTGCCGCCTGGAACAGCTGATCGGTGATATTCTAGGAGACCAATCCAACCGTTGACAGACAGCGGTGGCAAACATCAGCAGCAGCGATAGGCGGCGATAGGTGGCAAATAGCGGTGATAGGTGGCACCGGCAGTGAACGATGGCGGCAACAGGCCATTCGCCACTGCTGCCTGTCCCTGCCACCGTACCACCACCCTCCCTCCCGCTACCGTGGTCCGGTCTGTGATGCAATATTCCATAAGATGCACAAACATTTCCAACCACTTTTAGGGAGGGGGAAATGCGTTTTATGGAGCAAAAAATACAGTAATTTCTCCTGTTAAATTATCTTTGGCTTCTAATTGGTGAATTTCCCTCAGCAACATGCCCAGGTTCTAATATTATTTCAATGTTTCCTAGGCTAGTGTCATATGTGAAATTATTCTAAGAATGAAAATCTTTTGCGACATTGTAACTGCTTATTGTGTACAAAGATAGAAAATATCGATAGATCTCACCAATTTGAATGTCACCTGCTCCTGCTTTTTGGTATTACATCTCTAGAACAAAGACTAAATGCAGCATAGAACATAACAATAAGAGCTAAACTCCGTGATGGTCCCAAATGCTTTTGCTCAAATATTCTGCTTATCCTTGGTGATCTTCCTTTGAGTCTCCTGCTAATAGAAGTTGATGGAATAGCTGCTGCAAGGGAGAGGGTCAGCAGGTAGCATACTCTCAATCTCATCTAGCCTCAGAAACTCAAGAGGATTGTGTCCATATAGCCACCAGGAACTGAATTTGACTTAAGGTAGGTAATTTAGTACAGGTAATTCTCTCTTTATGATCCCAATTGGGACTGGCAACTCTTATCACTAAGCAAAATCGCCAATAAGTGAAATATCAGGTGACTCCATTATTGTAGCGACAACAGTTTTGGCAGTCCAAGGCTGCAGTTGTTAAGTGATTGAATCACGATTGTTAAATGAAACAACATGTGTGACCAGAACTTGCGACCTCCTGCTAACTTCCTCATTGACTTTGCTTGTTGGAAACCAGGTGGGAAGGTTGCAAATGATAATCGCATATTTGCTGGTCAGTGCTACAACAATAGTTGCCACATCACAATGATGAGGCCACAGTCGCAAATCTGAGGACCGGTTTTAAGTCACTTCTTTCAGAGCCTACCCTGAACCCTAGCTTCAAACCAGTGGTGAGTTGCTCCTGGTTCGGTCCGGTTCTTGAGAACCGGTAGTAATGGCGGCAGGAGGCTCCGCCCACCCACCCGGACATCATCATGGGTGATCTGTGCATGCGCAGAAGCGTGCGTGTGCACACCTTCCTGTTGCAAACCGGTAGTAAAGGTAAGTGGAGCCCACCCCTGCTTCAAACACTCACTAAATGAATGGTCAGTGAGCAAGGACCCTGTTTTAGCTTTACTCTGGTGAATTCATGGCAGTGGTGGGTTTCACCTATCTTTGCTACCAGTTCACTCGCACGCCACTTCTGCACATGCGCAGAAGCTTCTGCGCATGCACAGAGCATATTTGATAATGTCCAGGCAGGTGGGCGGAGCCTCCCACCACCACTGCTACTGGCTCGCCTGAACCAGGGCAAACCGATAGCAACCCACCACTGATTCATGGGTATATTAATAAAGTTTTCTTGGAGACGATAGTACCTTATTTACACAGGCAATCCCAGTTTAGCAACTGCCTTGGACAACAAATGTTTGCAATTACAATGATGAAAATGTAACTCTGCAATCAATTCTCATACGTTCAACCTTTACAGTCATTAATTAAAGCAAAGAAAAACTGAAGTAAGAT